AATTTTCATCAGAACTTTGGTTGCAGCATTTTGGATCAGCTGAAGGCTTTTAACTAAAGTTTGTGGACTTCCTGATAGTAAAGAATTACAATAGTCCAACCCTGAAGTAACAAATGCATGGACTAGTTTCTCAGCATCACCCCTGGACAGGATATTTCTAATTTTTGCAATACTCTACAGATTAAAGAAGGAAATTCTAGAAACCTCTTTGATATGGGATTTAAATGACAGGTCCTGATCAATAATAATAATACCAAGATCTTCTACTTTATTATCTGAGATCAGTTGAATCCCATCTAAATGAAGTGACTGACTAATCAGCTTCTTTTTCAAAGACTCTGATCCAAAGACTATAACTTCTGTTTTGTCTGCATTTTTATGTCTTCAGACATGCCTGTAATCTATGTAATGGGTTAGCTTCATCTGGCTTCTTAGACAGATATAGCTGAGTATCATCAGTATAAAAGTGGAAATGAATCTCATGCTGTCTAATAACTCTAACGATTGGGAACATATATACAGTAAAGAGAAATGGTTCTAACACTGATCCCTGTTGTACTCCACAGGTAACATTTGAGCATGAGGAAGATTTGTCATTAATGTGAACAAACTGAAATAGATCAGATAGATATGATTTAAAGGAGTCTAGTGCTGTTCCTTTAATTCACAGGGGAGTAATAATGATTTAATTTTTAATAGAATCACTCTTATTTATGAAGAATCCCATAAAATCATTACTGCATAGAGCAGGATGAATGGAGGGTTCAACAGAGCTATGGCTCTGGGTGAGTTTGGCAACTGTATTAAAAAGAAATCTAGGATTATTTCTATTCTCCTCTATTAATGAGGAGAAATATGCTACACTTGCTTTACGAAGGGTCCTCTTATACAGCAGTAAACTATTTTTCCAGACTAGGTAGGATTCCCGTAGGCATGTAGAACACCATTTTCTCTCCAGTTTCCTAGGATGTTGCTTCAGAGTGCACAGCTCTGCAATAAACCAGGGAGCCAGCTTTCTGTTTTTTAAGGTTTTTCTTGCTCATAGGGGCAGCATTGTCTAAGGCAGTACGCAGAGAACTAGCAACCCCATCAACAAAATCATTAACCTGTGAAGGGGAATAAACTAAACTGTTGCCCTGTGTAGCACTGCTCAGCGACACAGAGGAGGGAGAAAGTGAAACAGTTTCTTTAAAATTTATAACTGCATTATCTGATAATGACCTGCTAATGTAAAAAATAGGTTATTAAAAAGTGGTGAGAGAGGACAGGGTTGTGAAGAAATACTGTTATTGCACAAGGTCCAAAGTATGAAGATTAGAATATGTGGGACTATTCACATTTTGAACAAAGCCAATAGCATCTAAGATAGCATTCAAGGCTGCACTTAAGCGTTTACCTTCAATGTCAGCATTGATGTTAAAATCCCCCACTATGATGACCCTGTCAGTATTTATCAACTACTTTATAAGACTTTAAATTCTCACTTTAGAAAATGTTCATGCAGCAAAAGGCAGTAGCTTCCTAATTTATCCTGCATGGATGCAACCATGATGCAGCTGGTCTTAAGAAATAACTAGAAAGATGGCAGAGTCCTATGAAATTGCTGATCTATTGCAATCTGAAGGACACAAACAATAACACACAGGCCTAACACAAGGCTGACATTTTCCATGTGTAAAAACTAAACTGGTTCATTTTTCTACAAAAATAAAAAATGAATCAGAGTGAAGTAGTATATATTTTAATAAACTGGTCCGATGTAGAAACCAGACAAGTTATTCAGCGAAATGCTTCAGACAAAAGACTGACCTGCATCTCTTGTTCACTGAATGACAGAAAGCCTGGCTGTTCAAAAAAGTTAAACCAGAGTAATTATGAATGACTAAACTCTATTCGGGTGCCAAGGTCAGTTCTGTCAGTCAGAGAGAAATTATGCATCGTCTTTAAAGGTTCATTAGGCTAAATTCATGGATCCTATTTGGTACATATGTGTTACATGAATATGCTTTATCCTTAAAAACCAGCATGAGATACTAAACATTCAATCAAACATCTAAAGATATAATCCTACTTTCTGTGAAAATATGTCTTTGACTGTAAAAATAAATTTATCAAAGTGACAAAGTAAATGTTGTTAGCTTTTGTGAAACTGGATGGTTTGAAATTATAACACCAGCACGCCCCACTAATGATTTTTCTTTATGTTAAGCCCAAAGCTTGTTAAAACTTCAAATATTGGCAAAGAAGATCTTGATGCATAGACTAACATCATATATATTTACTTTGTTTTTTCTGCTAATGTGGCTCCGAATTCCCTTTTCTGTTTTAAGATTATTTATTTAACTCTCTGGTTAACCAATAATTGCACATTTGTAATTTAAATCGTCAAATATAAAACAAAAGATTTTACCTTGAAGTAATTTAAAATTAAAATGAACAAGGAATGAAAACCACCTTAATAACACGGATTTTAGCCGGTTTAATTCGCTTATATTTTCCAGAAAGTTTGATGTCCTACCTGGCAGCAGCTGGAGGTGAGGTACTCTCCAAACGGCTGAATGGGGCTGACCTTGTAATGCTCTATCAGCTCAGTCAGACTGCCAAACAGCTGACAGTCCCCAGATATCACAAACTGGCCATCTGGATTTTGGGAAATTACAAAATGGCGACACCTGTCATGGCCTCTGGGTGGGAGGACAATCATTAAATCAGAGAGACGGGAGAGAAACATTCCAACAAAGACTTAGACACTATGTTCCTCACTTGTAGGACAGGATGTAGCCAATGGCTTTATCACTGAGGCGGATGAGAAAGCAGCCCAGAGCTTTATCTCTCAGTACATCTTCTGCTTCCCTGCAGCACAGTGGGAAAGAAGCACTTAACCAGACCTGCAGGCAAATTAGATTCAAAAATATCCCAGCCACGTCATGGAGGCACGGCTCACTGATAACGCTCATTCACACTTCAGTCACTCTCAGGGAGTAAACATGTTCTGGCAGCTGGCATACAGGTCTCCTTCCTCAATGTTGGACTGAACACGTTGAAGAGAAACTACCAAAAGAACAGGGCCTTATTCTGAGGAACAATTGTAAAAGCTTTGGCATCAGAAGCAGTGAATAAGAAGTCCATCTGTAATGCTTACAGCTTCTGCTAAAGAGAAAGTAGCAACCAGGTGCTGCAAAGCTTTACTCATCAGTGAGTTTATTCAGCTTGTAGCAGGCAGCAGGGTTTTACCACAGCACCAGGAAAGAAAGACAGTGATCTCAGAGATGAAACTGTTCCTGCTCATCATTCTAAGCCCATTCCCACTTTTACCTGAAGTCCATTAGAGTCAGAGTTGATCTGAAGCTTCTAGTCACCTTCCCGAGTACAGCAGGTGATCTAAAACATATTTGGATAAAAGATTCCAGGAACTGAGATTGCCTAGTCCAGGTCCAGATCTTCATTAAAATGCTGTTGACATGGGTGAGGGGCCTCCAGGGGCCAGTGGTCCCGTAGAACTGGTCCTGGCCCCTGTTCTGGTTTGTCTACTGAAAATAATCAATCTGAATCAGCTTTGTATGATGATGTGACCTGGCACGTAAACCGTAATTATATTTGTTTTCCTTTAAAGTGGATGTTTCATGGTCTTGGCACTGATGACTTGCTGGATTAATAATTTCATTAACCTGCCTAACTCTGCCCATTTTCTAATTACTGTTCATCTGATCCACCTGCTCCTGCTTGTATTTAACCAGCTCTCAAACCAGTCGTCAGTGCCAGATTATTCTACAGCCAGTGGTGAGAGTGTTCCAGCATTAGCTAAGTGTTTCAGATTACCTGATCCTGACCTGTTCTGCCTCTCAACCACTGAGCCTGTCTGTTTCCGTCCGATCTGTTGGACTCCTCCTGGAATATGACTGCTTCCTGTCATGCCCTGGATTTCAGTTTGGAACCTCTTCGGATCCCTGATCTCCTGTTTCTGAATCCTGAATACATTCTTGATACTGGCTTTGGCTTCGCCCTCTGGATTATCCTGCCTTCCTTCAGATCTGGTCTCCTTCTTGCTCTCCGTTCTCTGGAACTACAGCACCTGGCACTCTCTGGGCATTGCCCTCCGCGTCTTGATGTCTGCCAACCGGCTGGATCCTCTGGATACAGACTGAACTTAAAAACCAGGTTAGTGACTCACATATCCATAATCATCCTCCATCAGATTTACGTGGTCACTAACCTGTGTTTTCTTTCTGCAGAGATCCCTGCCTTAGACGCCTTAGATCTACTCCTGCAGATCTGCAGTTTTTAAATTTTGAATGTCTGTCTACCTTAAATACTTGATACATCTGACTTTATCTCCATTAAAAACAGAGGTGCTACACTGTTAGCTCCTGCTGTACTAAGATTGGATCAGAGTTTTCATCTGCAGCTTTCAAATCTCCACATGGCGCCACAGATTTGAGGCTAAATTATTACCAGTTATCTGTTACCCCATTTTATTCATTCATTTATTTTCATCTATTCTTTTATTCTGTTCCCTCATAAGTTGCTGATGAGGTTCTATAATCTGCTGGATCAACTTTGCTTCATGTTTTTACATTCAGGTTCAGTTTTTGATAAATAACTTATGATGTTCTCCTTTAATTTTAGTGATTTTTTGCTTTAGAATCTTTTTGTTTTATATTTCACCATTTTATTCATATCTATAAATGTATGATTCATGTCATATCTATGAATAAAATGCTCAAAGATTCTCCTTAAACCCTCAATGTTCCATAAATAGAAGAACCTACAGCCTGCTTGTTAAATGAGTCATTTATAAGGTCAATAGTTAACTTTAACATATCTGCTGATATGAATTACGAAAAAGAAAGCGGTTACCATGTGACTGAAACTGTCAAAGACTTATGGTACAAATAACTTTAACCCTTTACAACAGCAAACGTTTCACCACCAAATGTTCTCAGAAACTTTAAAAACCAGTTTAAACATTTATTAATCTTGTGTTCCTGTGTTCCTCCTTCCTAGCGGCTCACCAGCAGAGCTTTTCTGTGTTGCTTACTTTCTTGCAGCGAGGCCCTGGAACCAGTTGGGGAAGTTTCCATTTTGCAGGATGAGCTGCGCCTGAGTGTCGCGGAACCACCTCAGCACCAGCTCCTTCAGGCCTCCGTCTGCCTCCAGCATCTGCAGGTCGACCGTAGACTTCTTCGCCATTCTCAACCGCGTGTCAGGAGCTGAGTGAGCAGAGGTGCTGCAACATGCTCATCTGCAGGGACATATGAGTCTGCATGGGAGGCTGATTTGACTGTTTCAGTTGGACGTCACTCCCACATGAATGGTGGTATTGTTTCAGCTTATCTGATGACTGCTTTCTCCCATCATGGTGCCAGCTTCATTTTAATCTCCCAGTTCCTAGTTCCAGATTGATCTTTAATTGGCTACAAACATTCTGAAATCTTTGTTGTGACCTTTTTGTTTCATAAGCAAAGACAAAAACCTAACATATGAGCTGATGAAGATTCTCAGTCATCCAGGTCATAGTCATTCCGTAAAACTTTTTTTAAAAAAAATCCACTGGACTTGGTTTCCAAGGTTTGAAGACGTTTCGCTTCCCCTCCAGGAAGCTTTCTCAATTCAAACCTAACATTACCTTTCTAACCTTTCTAACTCAGGAGGTGCTTTTCATTAGCTGGTTTGCTGGACCTCAGGTTTAGTGAGAATGTCCTCACATTCTGCAGAGATTGTGTCTTTAGATCTTCCAAACATGCACCCACCTGCTCGCCAATCCGGACCCAACCTGATTTAAAACAGTGTCTAACTTCACTTGCGCCGCTCCTCCTGTAAATACGGTAAAGCCCTCTAAAGTGTCAGGCACCAGGCTGCACATGATCCAAATTAGACAACGAGCTGTCAGTCTGGGTTGCTGCTGCTGCTACTTTTAGACACAGCAGG